ACAAGAACAGTTTTGTCAGGTATAGATTCAAATTCTCATTCAAGAACTCCATAGTATACACAGTAGTGTACACAACTGTGTTTTGGTGTTGGTCATTCACAACAAAAGCTTGTTTGCTTTATCCTCTTTTGACCTCCAATTTTTGTGTGTGTTCTTCATTTTACATACCAGATGTTTTACAAGCTGTATATTAGCATTACTAATTACATGCTTAGGCATGGCTTAAAGAACACATAGTACCCACAGACTTTCTACACTGGAAAACATCAACAGGTATATACAAATGACAAAGGAACCACCTCAGTAACATGGTACAGTTCTAAAAATTCTTACTCAAGAAGTAGTCCTGATTTATATGAGTATTCCCATTGAAGTCTATTTGTTTGCATAAGGACTACACATGATTTAGCAAGCGGGCCTCAATTCTGAAAATTAAATATTACGAAATATGGAATCTCACTTAGGTACACTGGGTAACATTCACATTTATTTAGAAGTAAACATTTCCAATATTGTTCTAGCAAGCCTAACCCTAGAAAGAAAGATCAAGGGAAAGTTTTTTAGTAGATTATATCTGTTAACCTGCTCAGCATGGGAGAGCTTTTATTAATATTGTATATTCCCAATGGCATAGTTCTCAGGGTCACTATGCCTTTTATGCCTATACTTCCCAGCAAAGGAACAATTGCATAGGATAGGGTGAATGTTTTACTAGACCATTGGGCACATTGATTTTTATATTCATGGATATGTAGATCAAATTGAAATAACCTAAAGGGGGCTGATGTGATGCCCCAGGAGTGTTACAGATGTCAAGATTCCTAGTAACTTTGAGTATGTTTCTACTCTGGGTGCACTCCCTGCAGAAAAATAGCACAGGGTGTCATTGAGATCTGTCACTTGCTGACACTTAGGGGAAAAAACTCCTCTACCTACACTAGGTCATTCCCAAGACATGTCCCATATGAATAAGATTGTGCACTGAACCTAGTTTTGATTTATTTACATTTAAAGTAAATGTTACACAAGTCAGACACACATGATCTTTTGCCTGCTGATATATCCTTAAGCAAATGTCCATGTATTGGAATGCTAAGATGTCTTTTTTTTCTTATATAGGACACTACCTCAGAAATGTATTTTTGTAAACACCCTGAAACTAAAGGGCAGGAGCGACCTCTATTTAAAGATCTGATAAAATTGCACTGATTTAAGGAACTTCTTGTTTTGAAGTGTTTATATTGTTTAATATTGAAATGTTAATGATGAAAAAATCATAAGATGATGTTAAGATTGAAAAAGATATGAAGTCTAGGAAACTAAACCTTAAGGTTCATCCTCCTTCTTCAGCTGTGTTATTGTGAAGCCCTTTCCCCCAGAAATAAGGCATCATGAGTTAAAATCCAGGTGTCAGATAGAATTTGGGCGTTTTGGGGATTTCTCAGTTAGTATCACAACTTTAATCCTATTTAAGCATTTTTTAAAATCTGATTCCTTATATGGTATGGTCAAAAGAAATGCTGATGGATTATCTAAAACACAATAAGAAAACAGAAAAGGAAATAGGTTTTCAATGTCACTGGCATTGTGTTTAATTTCTTGTTTTCAGAATAGCTTTTTGGTTTTTTAAAACATGTATCATGACTCATCAGGCAAAAGTGAAACAGGCACCTTTTATTTGGGAAATCTCACTCTGGAAACTAAAAGTGTAAATGCCATTTGCTGTGTTCATTTGTTTTTTTATTATTTAGTAAGAACTAAACAGGTTTAACTCTTTGATTATACCTTTCCATTACAGAGACAAAAGCAGCATCTATCAACACTGGGGTTTTGGAAATGATGGTTCTATCTATTGTAAGGTGCGTGCTTCGTAAGTATGTTTGAAGGAAGATGAGGTTTTTTTTAAACTGGTTTACCCTCCTTTTCATACTTTCACGTGAAACCTATCAATGTAGGAAAGTTATGTGCATGTGGTGAGGAAAGCACCGTCCTGCATTAATAATTTCAATGTTTTTGTTTTAAACTGTCTCCATGTTAATATTAGAACATTCTATAAAAATATGTTTTCAGTTATTGGTGTCTCTTTTAAATTTGCTTTTGTTCTTTAATTTTTAATGCTTTCCTTCATCATTATTTTACACATATCTATTTTGATTTATAACTAGTTTTATATAAATAAAAATGCAACGTTATTCTTAATTTAATTGATATAAGAGAATTCACTTGGCCAGAAATCAGTATTTGGAAGGAAGGCTAAAGCTAAAAACAATATAAGGTGCTACTGCCATCTGAAATGAGATGCATGTTTCATTGCTTTTATATTCATTTATTAAGAGAGGCTTAAACACATATGGGGCTGGAACTTGAGCTCCTTAAGCCCAGGTCTTGCTATGCCACTGGCTAACAGAGTTTTTAATGTAAACATTCAAAGAGCTTTAAATGTAGTGATTTTGTACATGGAACAAAACATAGAGACAGCTTTAGCAAACAATGAGATATTCTTTCATTAAAAAGAGATGTAGAAAGGCCTTTCCACATTTTGATTGGGAAAGAAGGGAACGCCTATTTATGGTATTTGTGTATTGTGGGGACTATTTAAAGGACAGTTCTCAAGTTAAGTGATTGTGAGGCAATTGTTTCAGTAAAACTCTGAGTCAGTGACCACATAGCACCTTTAAACAGTGGGGATGGGAGTCAGGGCATTGTTCAGCTTGCCAGGGAAGAGGGAATAGCGCTTTACAGCCAGGAGGGGAAATGAGGCTCAGAAGCGGCTGCAAAAGAGAGTGTGGGTCAGTGTAGCGACACTGATGCTGAATCTCCTCCCCAGGGACCAGAAGGGCCGGGGAGTTCAAACGGGGCAAGCCCAGCGGGAAAAGCCCCTTTTTCCAGGACCAGGCAAAGCAGCACCCACCCTACCTCTCCTTGAGGCAGCAAAATGCCAGGTTTGCTCAGGACCTGCTGTGGGTGTTGTGCTAGCTGCTTCTTTCTAGGGGGCTGGGAAGGAATTTTTCCCTCACCACCAGATTGGCCAAGGTTTTTATTTTTGCTTTCCCCACAACGGGTTCAGGGAGGGCTTTGTTATGGTGCGTAGGGAAGGGAGTTAGGCTATGATGTCACAACTCATTATATAAGTGTGGGGCAGCTGCCCAGTGCAGGGACTCCATAGGGAAGGGCTGCAACGACTGGATAAATGGCTTGGTAAAGGTCTTAAAACACCGTAAAAGAAGTATTTGTTAAAAGAGTGGAACGGGAAGGGGGTATTCAGAGCTCCTATGACTGGCACAGCAGGTAGCTAACCCTCCTTTCACCATAACCCTTATTTGATGGGGGAATGGTAAGGGAATCACCCTGCCTCAGCCTCCCTGCACCAATCAGTGTCTCCTCTGAGAGACCCCTTTCCTGCCTGCATTCCAAGCCTCTCCCTGGGGAGGTCAAGAGGTGGCCAAGCAGGGAAGGTCTGACTTTTGTTTCTGAATTTGCAGATGTGCCATTGAGCTGTGGAAGGCCTTGGGTGAAGGTCTCAGCAATGGGTTGGCTGGGGGCCCTGGGTGGAAAAAGAGGAGGCTGGCAGAAGGACCCTGGTAGTTAATGAATGATCATGGAGTTACCTGCACTATCCACTTTTATCTGCTGGGTAGTCCCAGACATCTAATAATAAAGTTCTGACCTGATTAAAACCATATCAGGTGTCTCCTGTCCTTCTTCCAGTATTGCCGGACAAAGTCCACTTCTTAAAAAATAAAATCAACCAACAAACTAAAACCTTCTGCTTCAGGACTAAACTGAAGATGACATTAAAAATACCAACCAACTTACACTCGTGATTGCCCTTTTTGTAAATACAATGGACTGCTGGTTGTTGTGCCTACTCTCTAACAGGTAAAGGAAACACCACTCTTCAAATACATTACTGGTGGAATAGGAATATATTTCTCTGAGTATATTTGCTGTCAAGAAGTTCCTTTTCAGTGACTGCAGTCACATCAAGTCTCTGAATGACAGTGTTAATGTGGGCAACATGAGTGCAACGGCCTTTAGTGCATAGTGTTGACAAAGAGACTCTTTTTATTTTGTATGGGTGAAGATGAGTGTCCTCACGCTGCAGCTTGAATGAATGAATTCTGACATATTTTAGGTCAGTTCATATATGTGGGCATTAGGGATCCATGGACAGTAGTATTTGGTTAACATTCACTCTCTTCTCCCCTCCTTACCCTTCCAACTCAAATAATCGGCTGTATACCACTAGTGGCTCAGGAGGGGTGATGTCCAGTGCCTTTGGCAAAGATTAATTGAATTGTACTTACCAGGACCTAAAAAGTTTCAGTGGCTCTTGAATGTACAGTGAATTTTCTGAAAATGTGAACTGAAATGTTGGGAACATGTACAGTGTTAAAATCTGCTAACTTACAGAAAATAATAGAATACTCAGTCCAGCAGGAAATCAATAGCAGGCCTGTCACTAGCATTGTCTGCCTGGGACCAGCCTTCTATTTTCCTCCCACTCATACGGACATTCCATCGGAATGATTAGATACTACTGTTCACATAGCACTGATGGACTGACAGAATGGAGCGACAGTAGAAGTGTTCTCTCTTTCTTTACCTGCTGAGTACAGCACTTCGTCCTTTTTTGTTATGCACAGTGATTTTTCATGTGCTGGCTTTTTAAAACCCTTTGTGTACTCTCTATATAATATTGACTTCCAAAATTTCTACTACTTGACTGCTGACAACAGAACATTTCTGATCAATTCTGGCCTGTGTTTGACTCACTGAGAACTGGGTGCTAACAATTAGTAGTTCTAATCCCCAAATGGTGTATTTTTCTATATATTTCCCAGCACATTCACTTTATCTGTAGTGTCATGTTTTAAGTTGCAGCATGTGTCAGCCAACAAGAACTGACACAGTAAAATGACATAATACAATGTAATGATATGTGACACATTCATATTGAAAGGGGAACACACTTTCTTTGGAATTGATATCTGCTATTCACTGATTAATTATATTTGTAAATAATTTACAATCTATTATTTATACTGCTTAAATATAACTGTCTTCTGTACTATGTAAGCTTTTAAAGGCAAGACTATAAAATGATTAAATGCTGTACTATAAAGTGCTTATTCCTAATCTGACACTGATATAATCTCTTTCCAGTCTCTTGACAATATCATTGCTGTAAAGTACAGTAAAAGTTAACCTCTCCAACACCTTAGTGTTATGCATTTAGGATAAATTAACTTTTTGGGTTTGTTCCCTAAATATTATCTTCAAAACTGTAATTTTTGCCCTTACTCATAATGGGCCAATTTCTATGCTCTTCACTCTCATTTAAATCAATAGAAGCTTTACCTGAAAAATAACGTCAAGTCTGATCTCATTATAAACAAGGGTAGAAATCAGATTTCAATTACTTCTAGAAATCAATAAATGCTAACTGTGCTCTTTAATAGCCATACTTTGTTATGGATTGTGCATTTATGCCTACCACTGGCATCATCATGAATATTGTGCACTTAAAGCAAATTTAATCCTAAAAGTGAAACATATTAAAGACTATGGGTACATTTTTCAAAAGTGCCTAAGTGCCATTTTTAAAAGTGATTTATACACGTGGGAGCCAATGGGACTTAAGTCACCTAAGTCACTTAAGCATTTTTAAATGTTTATGGGAGATCTAGTGTAGTGTATCAGATCTGAGTTAAAGACAGTGATAAACTGTGAATAAACAAGTGAGAGTGCTGCATCAAATTCTAGATACACAACTAGCGAGACTCAATATTATTGATGGCAGAAAAACATCTAATCTGTTCCTCAGAAAATGAAAGCCACTTATTGTACTGCTTTTTCTGTTTGAGAAGTTTACTTTAAAATACAGTGAGTTCAGAAGAAAAAAATCCTCACAGATGAAGAAAGGTTGACTGTAAACTAACTGAAAAGAAAGACACGGCAACTAAGGCACAAAATATTGAACTTTATCATTAGATGCATCAGCCAAAATTGATAATATTATCAGCAGCTATTGTGATGTTAACATTATCAAGTGATCTCAGAATATGTGGAACAAAAAAGTTCTCTCAGATCTGCATGGCAGCCCTGATGTTCTGTTTTCCGTTTGGGCTCAGAAATGTCATTGATATCCGTGGGTAATCTACAGAATTGGCATTGCAGAATATTGTTTAGAAAGGGTGCTAAAATACAATAGCAATAGGTGCTTTATAAATGAAATAGATAGATTAGATGGACTGGACTCAAGAGCTACCCAGTGGAATGTTTGCCCTTGTGCTTATGAAATATACTAATAACAGCAGTCACTAACTTCTAGTGTGTGTTTAGCAGACGATGCCCACATAAATATTAATGAGAAAGCATGTATTTTTTTAAAAAATTGTTATTTCATATTTGCAGTTTTGAAGTATAGTACTTAACTAGTGTTTGAATATTTTTCCATGAAAAAATAGTAAAAGTGATGATAAAGCTGTAAACTACATTTGTGGCTGTCAAAGCCCCACAGGAAATACTATGCCTCTAACCTTTACACAGTGTTTCTGGGAGACTACATCATCAAAGCTAGGTCCTAGGCTTCTACTTTTTACAAAGGGCTCCACGGCTCTACTACCATGAGACTGAATCACTGTCTTCAGCACTGCTATTTTTCACCATGGCTCCTTCAGCAGGACCAAAAGAGTATAACTCTCCAGTTGGGAACTTACCCCTCTTGAGAGCTATGCAACCAGCAGATCTTTTGCAATGACATAGGACAGCCTTTTCAAAACAAGCCATCTTTCATTAATCAATTAACATTCAGTGTGTAGGGTCCTCATATTAGAATAAAAAGCAGAATTTATAAACGCGTCCGTACTGGCAGTGTTGCCTGCCTCTTTGGCGAAAAGCATCCAGGATTCCATCTCTCCCACTGCACTGGGCAACAGCATTCTTACAGTTTTCCCACACATTTGTCATCTACTGCTTTCACATGTTCTGCCTCCAATGGCTGGTAGTCATTAAAAGTTGTTGTCTCCAACGTCTGGTTGTTGGTCTTCCGTTGAATTTCCAAGGTAATGCCATTCATGTTGACAGTGCTTGCTAGTTCATTCATACCAACCAAGACTTGTGTATTGTGATCAACATCCATCTCGTATTCTCCTGTCCCAGAGGATAAATTGATTCCATCAGTTCTAATAGGTCATAATACAAAAGTGATAAACTGAGCCATGCATATTTTTCATAAAAATACATAATTTCCCCACATTCTCCATAATGACTGTAAGCAAGAAATACTTTCATTTAGGCATAATCCAGGCTCTTTCACCATGGCCACCTATGACCCTTTGAAAGCTACTTAGGCTGAAGTAGCTTCTGAGTAGTGACAATGCAGTCACTTCACAGCCTGGGATAAGGAAATGAGACTGATCATGTTACCCTGATGGAAGATATGGTGATTTTGTTGTTGGTTAAGTGTCTGAGAATGCAGATGTTCCTTCCTGCTAGGAAATAGGATGTTATTGCTAGGATATGATAATTTCACCTGGAGCATCTTAGCTAACTTGATAGGCTAGCAAGGTCAATAGTTGGCAACTGAATTTTATTTTTAGTTTGTTAAAAAATAAAATGCAGTCATTTCACAGCTCAGAGCTTTTTTTCCATCTGAAATGGTAAAACATGTTTGAGTTCATGCCTTTTTGCAAAGTGGCATTCTGCTAATATCTCATATTTCAGAGCCTAGCTAAATATGATGCTCATATTTAATTATATATAGTTACTTAAAAATAGGGATACAATATTTGTTTTATCAGAGAGTAAAAAGAAAAACTTTATTCCATTTAAGTGGGTGTTTCAGTCTTAAAAGCCGTCAGTTCATATTCTTAAGTTACTTCTTAGTCTTTGCATAGTGTATTTTTCACTGTAGTACATCTGTAAAAGTCATTATGTAAATTTGAATTAGGAAAACTTCCTGAAATACAAAGTTATTTATATGCAGTAACTTTTGTGACATTGCCTATATCAACCACTCTTCCCATAATTCCTGGTGTGTAGTTTGTTGTAATTCTGCTGATATACCCTAATGTTACTCTTTGTCACTCTTCTGCCTTTGTCCTTTCCTGCAGGCTTACCCTGAGTTTGTCCTGACCTACCTAGAGGAGCTAAATGTAAGAGAGGAGGTGACCCAGATGGAACACCACATCCACCATGGGGCCTGGTCTACAGCTCATCAGGAGATAGAGAGCAGCTCAGCAGAAGAGGTCACTGTACCAAGCCAGAGGCAGGTCAGAGACAGTCTTTTCAAAAATACATTTTGAAAAGAGAGAAGTTAACCTCTACCATCTGTAGCTGTTTAAATAAATAAACTTATTTGCTTTTGTTAATTTAAAAATGCGAGACAAATACATTTACTAAGGCAAGATTTTAATGAATGCAACTTTTTTTTGTTCCAAACCTTTTACAGTTTGAGCCTCCTTTATTCCACTGAGTGACAAATTGTTGAAATTGCACATTCTGTATAGCTGAAAGAAGTTAAAAAATCACTGCTTCCTTAGATTTCTGTTTCTTGATAAATCTTGACATAGCGATTTGGATTTCAACATTTTCTGTTGATCAACAGAAAAAGTACTTATTTGAAAAAGTAGCCACATACTATTCTAATTAACAATGTATAAATTGCATGGTTGTACTTCATTTTTTAGGTTCTGCAAAAAAATGTCAACAACTCCAATCAGAAACAACTTTCAGGACCTTTGGACGCCCATTTAATGCCTGCAGGTCCCCTAAGGGAGTCTATGCAGCTGACAGTCGCACTGGTGAGGAAACTAGAAGAGAAACATCCTAAGGCCTCAGCTCAAAGGTAAGCCACTGACAGAACTGATATTTATTGTTCAATGACATTAGATGTTTTCCTTCAGTTTCATGTAAGATTGATTTCCTGGATATTATTGAAATATCTCAGAAGCCCTCTGGCTTGTAAGCAAACATGGATTTTTGACCAAAATTAATGAAAAGGGGTGACATTTATGTGCATAAAGATTGATGTGTACACCCAGTTTGATAGTAATTGGGGAATTTACTTTTAAATTCTATGCATAAACCTCATAGAACACAAAGTAATATGACTTTTATTGACGTTATGTGACATGGTTTGTGCCACTAGACTTTTAGGGTTATATAATAAATGTTTCATTATAAACCTGAAATTTAGGCTGAGCTGAAGCATGGCATAGCACATTGGCTCCTAGCCTAAGAGTATATTTTGGTTAAAGCTATATCTAAAAAGTAACCTTCTTAGTCATTTGAAATTACAGAGGGAAAGTATAATAGCAGTTTCAAGCTTCTATAATTAACACAAAATATTTATTTTTCTTACATTTATATTTGATAGATTATCCTCTTTGTGGGCAACCATGTTGAATTATTTTAGAGCAAAATATTAAAAATGATTGGCCTATCATTCAGAAGACCAGTCTAGTAGACATTCATGGTATTTTTTTCAACAAAAATTCAATATTGAATTTTAGCAGCTATTTTTTTTCATATAGCACGTGAACCTTGAAGTTATAGTAAGATTTGCAACATCAGATCAATAATATACTTTTAAAAATTACCTTAGTAATAGAAGTTGTCCCAACTAATTAATCATAATAAAATAATGTTAATAAAATCATATAATACAAATAACTCCAAATACTGCGGTGTTCAGATTATTGAAGATACCTTTAAACTTCTTCCTTTCCAGGAAGTATTGCACATAGATGAATTGCCATTGGTTGATGCTTTGATTTTTCTTCCTGAAAGTGCTGTGTTTTATAGCCAGTATTTCTGGGAATAATGTACTATATTAGTTCTAATACAACCTAGTAATTATACAGCTCATCAAAGCACTGAAGAGTTTTAGCAAAATCCATGAATAATAATGTTCTGCCAAGCTTTAAAGTTAACAATTGTTAATACTATTGTGTTTAAAAGATAAAATGTAAGAGCTCCAAATCAGCTAATACAGGCTACACTGGCTCTTTCAAAAATATTTTGAAATACAAAGTTAAGGCTAGCATAACATCATTTATTTATTCTACAAAGCTTAAAGTATATATTCCTAGGGTCTTAAATTATTGTGTGATGTTACAGTGTTACCACGTATTATGTTACATTGCATGTTATGACATGTTATGATATATGCCACATGACCTAAGCACAATGGGAAAAGTTAAGAATAAAGCGTACTAACTATCAATTTACATGCTTTGGGATATTTTTACAACTTTAATGTTACTAAAATGATATGATTTGGAGGCTAAAGAGCAGCTCTGACAGAACACAGGCTTTGATTCAGAAAAGTATCCTTGTAATCAAGACAGCGCGGTCTGAACTTTATGAATCTCCTTAATTCCGATGGGATTTATGTCTTATTGAATTGTGGGCTTTTGTAGTAAGAAGTAAAACACATACTAATATCTTTAATTTGTAACAATATTATTTTATAGTCAATAACATTCTGGAGTAAAATGTTTAAGTAGGAACAATATTAGTTCATAAAATGTTTAGGTCACCTTCCTTATCAAACATATCAAACATATCAAATCCTCTATATTCTTTTCCTCTGCTTTTTTTGGTCCCAACCTGTGATATAGTATTGCTGTAGGCTATTAAATAGCTGCAACATTCCACTTAATTATAGTTTGTAAAACATGTTGAGCATCTTTCCAGAAGAAAAATGCTGTATAAGTGTAAGGTATTTTATTTAATAAATATATATTTTGTGATTGCAAAAGCTATAGTATGCGTGTATAGCAGTAAAACAGCCTATTGAGATCTATTTATGTAATGGGGAGAAGGGAAGCCACACAAATGAATGAAGTATGCATAGAATAGTTTTTTGTAGAAACCCTATCTACATATCAGGCCTGGAGTTCTTATTCAGGTAAATTTCTGTGGAAGTTCTTCTTCAGGAATGGACCCAGCAATTTAAGTTAGCACATACTGGGGTTAGTCACTCTCCTTCATAAGCTGTTCAGCTGGTGACCAGCAGGTTTTGGATCCTGCCTATTTAGTGAGCCACCCAGCCCAACCTGAGTTTGGGTTTTGTCAGCTATTGGCTTGACCAAAAGGGATAGCTGTGTGTGACTGCAGGAAATAAAAACTCTATTATGTTGGTAAATATTTCCTCTTCACAGTTTTGTACTTTAAGGTGAAAGTACTTTCAGGATGATTGTAGTTCAGAGCTGTCATCACTAAATGATATTTCTCAGGGAGCTGGGAAACAGATTCATTTTCATATGTGTAGGTTCCCACAAAGTGGGCAGTGAGTATAGCCTCATATTGACAGAACAACCGTCATTTGGGTAGCTTTAATTGGGGCAGGCAGAGCTCACCCTTAACATGGGAATCTGCCATGATAATAATGTCATCAGAGAAAAGCATTTGGGGGCATGTTTGGGATTAATAGACACTGTTGTGTAAAATTGACTGGTCCTTTAGTGGTTTACTTTTAAGACAACCTGTAATAAAGTTGTGTCCTTTACCAAGAAAGCTACCATATTATGTCATAACAATAGTGTATCTTGGGATAATGCTATGGTAGTATATGTTGCACATTATTATATTTAGAAAAACATGACAAGACAGATGATACTATAAACCTTGAGTAGGGAGAATGGCAAGATACAAGGCTGAAAGAAAAGTAAATGTCTGACACCCAGAGTTTTGGGTGGCATCTCACAATCACTGTACTCTGTAATGTTTTATTGTTTACACTGAGCTATAAAATAGGTTCTACTCACTTGGCTTGGAATTTTCCATGACCAATTAGATTCTTATATTAGGCTCTGAGCTGATATAGCACCTAAGCACATGCATAGTTTTAAAGACATAAGTAAGTCCTAATGTCTTCATTAGGATTTAAGCACACACTTAAATGCTTTGCTGAATTGGCTACTTCATGAGCACAAGTTTTTGTTAATACAAAATACTAAATAGTTAACAGTATGCATTACTCCTCATTTTTAAAAACTGAGTTGAAATTTTAACCATAATTTGCTGGAATCAGTTCTAAATCCCATTAGTATATTTTTAAAAAATATATTTACAATATGCTAAAGGTATATACCACTCACAATACTTAGCTGTAATGAAAGAATGCTGTATAATTGAAAATCCTGACAAATAATTTTAAATAACTAGTTCTATAGTGGTTTCTATGTGCTTTCTGATATTGCAAAGTATTGAATAAAATAGCCATTGTCTAGAAGAATATTAGCTGTATATTTGAAACCAAATATTCAGAGTTGCTGCCATTCACTTTCTTGTGTGTAAGTTCTTGAAAGGTTATAATAATGAATGTTCAGTCCTGCAATGGGAGTTGAAGTCACTCAGCACACTGAAGGACTGGGTCCAAAATGAACAGTTACTGGGATCATGTTAATGCTTCTGTTGAAGTCAATATAGTGCCACTATAAATCTCACAAGGCAAACCCCTTTTTAAGCAAAATCAATGGGAGTCTGTGTACTACATATATTGAAATTTGATATTTCTAGATGTATAGAAAAATAAGTATGATGTCAATATCTAACTGGAATGATCCATAGTGTAATTGTAGCCGTGTTGGTCTCAGGATATTAGAGAGACAAGGTGGGTGAGGTAACATCTTTTATTGGACCAACTTCTGTTGGTTAGAGAGCTCGAAAGCATGTCTCTGTAACCAACAGAAATTGGTCCAATTTAAGATATTACCTCATCCACCTTGTCTCTTGAATTATCCACAGCAGATTCGGTATATATTATTTTGTGTAATATAAAAATTAAGTATTTTACTATTTTCTGTATCTACATTTCAACTTTAACACATAAGAATTTTAGAATGAAAAAAGGAAATGCAAAGATTCTCTTTGAATCTTGTCCAGTCTTCAACGAGAGAATTGCAATGTCCTCCTCTGAATCATTAGGGGCAGAGATAGATGTGTTAGCTGTCATATAGCATATTAAGCATTTTCGTGTGGGAAATTTCACAAGTAAAATGAGGGGGAGTATTTAAATTAAACAATTTCAGGCTTTTTGTAAGCTCAAAAACATGGTCTACATTAGTGGGTCTCCAGTAGCTCAGAGAATCCCTGATGTCTGTTCATATGGGATACCTGCGAATTGTGTTATGTACATGTTCATAGGGATTTGATTTAATATCAGGTAATGGGAAACTTAAAGTTTATGTCAGGTTTGCACTGAGTTTACGACTGTTCTCTAGAAGATGTCAAAGTCCAGATAGAAAATTAGGATGGCATCCTCTTTTCTACTGGATTAAGGCTAGGATTCACAGGTTAACGTAACAATGGCTCAAAAATGTCCTTATCTTCATACCAAACTGAACAGAAGCCACCACAAAAACCTGACAGCCATCCTCAAATCGGTGTGCTATAACTTGCTCCATGAGATCCTGGTAATATGGCCCTGTGACAGGGGGCCCGGTTGGCCCAGTGTGAGGTTGATACACCCCACCACCCAGTTGTCGGGATTCCCGCTTAGATCAGGTAATTGCAGTACGGGGGGCTCCGGACCCCTGGCAGGGCCAAGCAAAAAACAAACAGTCAGTAGCCCCCTGAGTCTCCAGGCTGGGGCCGACAACAACAGTTGGAGTTCTGGCCCTCTGGGTAGGATGGAACAATGGTCAGCCTGCAGCCCGTGGGCAAGGCTGGGCAAACAATTAGTCTATAGCCCTAAGTCTCCTGGCTGGGGCAGGCAGTAGTAATTGGGGTTCTGGCCATCTGGGTAAGACAGAACAGCAATCAGTCCATAGCTCCCGAGTGGGGCAGGGCAAACAATTAGTCTATAGCCCCTGAGCCTCCTGGCTGGGGCAAGCAGTT